AGCACTCCTGACACTATTCTCACAAGACTCTGACATACTTTTGTATTTGTCTTCTATTTGTTGCCTATTTCCAACTTCTGCACATACCTTTTAAAAAAAAAATCTAAGTTGGTTAGTTAATTCCCTGTGCATCTACATTATTCTATAACACTCTTTTCTTCTTGGAGGGATTTTTTTTGTTCTAAATTTAAACATAAAAAAATTATTATTTCCAAACATACAACAGAATACAAAAGATGATTTGCATATTAACCATGAGCTTACATTTTCATACACTTGCTTTTTAAAGAAGTATATAAAAATATCATGTGTCATTTTCAAAAGTTTGCTTGTCTGTTTCCTTCTGAACTTCCTTCTGTTCTGTGTATTTTAATAAAATTTCTCTCCCCAACTAAAAAAAAAGACAGGAAAAAAACTCCTTGTTACAGATAACCGTAGTGAAGCAAAACATTTCCAGTATGGCTATATCCCAAAAAATGTATGTCTTTTTCTGCACTTTCTGTCAGGAGGTGTCTAACTTGTTTCATCATGAGTCCTTTGAAGACGTGATTGGCCATTGCATTGATCGGAGTTCTTAAATCTTTCAAAATTGTCTTTTTTTTTTTAAATGTTGCTATTATATAAATTATTCTCCTGCTGCTATGCCCTTTACTCTGAATCAGTTTCTACTTTTCAGGATTCTCTGAAATCACCTCCCTCTTCTTAAGATACAATACTTCATTACATTCACATATTATTTGTTCAGCCATTCCCCAATTGAGGTACACCCTTTTCGATTCTAGGTGTTTGCTTTCGCAATGGTTGGTTTTGATAGAATCAATCAATGAAATCACCTCCCCACCATTTAAAGTGATTATATACTACACTGTAATCCAGGTACTGGGTAAAGATGTGCCTTGATTGTTCACTAGATGTGAGGCTAGCCTCAATACCTCCCTGAGTATGGCAGGAAGTCTATTCCGATTGCCTGAGAGACTTGGTTATGTCCTCTACAATCTACTTAAAACCATCAGCTGGTTGGAATGAGAGAGTAGAATGCCTGGTGGTGGAAATCTGAACTCCTGAAAGGAATTAATTGGCAGGAAGGAGCAGAGGCCTGGCCCATGGTGGACTCTGTGGTCTCAACCTTGGTTTCAGTCTGTTCCTTTCCCCATCGTCAGAGCTGTTGCATGAATTTCAAAGGGATAGAATATTTGGACTCAGAGTCCTAGTAGTGTCCTCAGGATGGTTGATGGCAATATCTGCATTGAGAGCCAAGGACAGACTGGATTCAATGAGAATAGCAGATTCAAGACTCTAAAACAGCACTTCTTAAACTGTGGGCTGTGACCCCATATGAGGTCGTGAAAAATTTGGCAACAGTAAAAGGTTTCTGAATGCGCAATGACCAAAAATTAATTAAAAATTAAACATATAATGAATCTGAGGTGTTTCTGGCAGCACTTACCCATCCGGCAACTTTGCTGCAGCCTTGGTTCTGAACACATAGCATGTGCACTTTGCCCTACACGTGCCATCACACTCCACAGCACCCACAAATGCTGGCAAAACAGGAAAAGGGGTTGAGAGTGGAAAAATTTAAGAAGTGTTGCTCTAAAGGAAGTCTGGTAGAAAAGGAGTATCTTGGGAATTCCCACCAAAGGGTTCAGGGATCTGAGTTTGCCATCACCATATATGTTTTCTAAACATAAGCCCACTTTCCCCTGGACCCTGTATGTACTGGTGAGAGAATGGGCCACAGAATTTTGTGGGGGAATGTTTTATACCAATTGTTCTTACTAAACTTATCCTTCCTTGGAATCCTTTATCATACTATTCCTAGGGTTCCTCTTCTCCATCCCAAACTCTAAGATGGAATGGTCACTTCTCTCCCCCACTCAAGGTTTTTTAATCATTTCTGTATTTAATCATTTCATCTCCTCCTTGTTGGTAAGAATGAGATGCAGTTTGTTGGTTCTTCTGCCTTTTGAAGGATGAGGTTACTGTTAAGGAAAGGAGCTATATTAGCTGCTTTGTTTTTGTCAGAAGGAGACAGAGACAGACAAACAGACACAGAGAGACAGAGTCAGAGACATCTCCTTTATAACCTTGCTATCCACCTTCCTGTCCTGGAAATCCTCCCACCCTGGGGCCCTGCTCTTTTGATTAGTGACTGCCCTCTCTAGGACCCTTATTCATGCATCATCTCATTCCTGACTCTCAGGTGGTCTCCATAGCTGTACCAGCTGTCTTGTTCTTGGGTACCCTTCTTCTCTCTCTGTTTTCAGCTTAAAACTCTCTTGATCAGATTATCAAATCTCCAGGCAACTATATTTTTGTTTATTCTTGTTAGATGCTAATCTGTCTAAAAGTTCATCATTTCCCACTCACCACACTTTTTCTTCTTTTTAAAAAAATTATTTTTAAATTTTTAAAAATTTTAAATTACTTAAATTAAAAAAAAGGATAGCTAACTAAATTCTACGATCAGAATATGATCACCTTAACCAGTTGGTCATTTTTAAAATCTGTCTTTGTCTGGTGAAACTCTTAACTTCAGTCATCTGCTGAAATGAGAATACTACCTGAGCCCCTAAGGTCTGCAGTTTCTTACCCAGGACATCATAACATCTAGCATTGCTTTCCAAGTTTCTTCTAAAGTGGCCATTTACCTCTACATGAATCATAATACCATAAAATGAGGAGGTTGGACTTGATGACCTTTAAGGACCCTTCCAGCTCTAAATCTATGATCTTACTATCCTATGATCACAAATGGCTAATGGAAGTCAGATTGGCTGAGTCTAGTGGATATTTATGATAGCAGGAAGGAACAATAAAGGCAGGCATCAGAAAAGAAGGAATGCTGAAGTAAAATTTTACTTTCTTTCCCTGTCTAGACTTCTGTTTTAGATGGAGAAATTTTACAAATACTTTATACATTTGAAATTATAATCAGGCATGTAATTACTCAGTTCACAGCTGGGTCAGAATGCTGACCCACTTACCATTAAAAGACAGTTTTAAAAAATGACGTAGGACTTTAGATAGACTTAAAAGGACAAAAACCTTACATGTACATTCTGTTCCCCATATAGTATCTCCATTCAATTCAGCAAACATTTATTAATGTGAATTAATTTATTATAATAATTAAGTAATGTAAATTAATTTGGGAAACAAAGACAAAAACAAACAAGTCCCCTTGAAGAGTTTACATTATACTGGGGGATAGATAGAATATGTGTGCAAGTGATTATGAGGGGAGAGTTGGGGAAGCAGTAATGTCTTTCTGGGGTTGGAGTAGGAACAGAGTGAGTATCTCAGAGGAGGTCCCACACAGGTTGGGCCTTGAAGCAAGACAAGGATTATGAGAGGCAGAAAGAAATAAGGAGGGAGTACATTCCAGGCATGGGTCATTAGCCATGTGTACAGATCTTGGGAGACGGGAGCTGGAGTAGTTTGGCTTGGTTGTGGAACTCATTAAGAGCAGTAGTGTGCAACAAAGCTGCAAAGGTAGGTGGGGGGCTTTGAATGGCAGGGTGCATTGATATTTTATCCTATAAGCCATGGGAGGACACTGATGGTTATTGAGCATAACTGACATTGGCAGATCTGTGTCTTAGGATGATTATCTTTGCAGCTGTGTGGAAGATGGTTAGAAGAGGGGAGGGTTTGGAGACAGGGAGACCAATTAGGAGATTATTAGTCATCCAGGTGAGAGGTAAGGAGGGCCTACACTAGAGACTGTGAGCAGAGAAGAGGGGATGGATAGAGCAAGAAAGCTTATTGAGGTAGAATTGCAGATATCCAGTAAGTGATTGGGGTGAGAAAGAAGAGATATTAGAAGATATCAAGGTTATGAAGTTGCATTACTGGGAGATATGTTGCCTTTAAGAAATTTGGAGAAGGAAGGGGCAGCTCGGTGGCACAGCATAGAGTACCCTCCCTGAAGTCAGAAGAACTTGAGTTCAAATGTGACCTCAGACACTTAACACTTACGGGCTCTGTGACCCTGGGCAAATCACTCCAATTGCCTTGTTAAAAAAAAAAAAAGTTTCAAAGAGGAACAAATTTATCAGGAAGATACTGAGGAGATATAAAACTCCTGCCAAGGATAGGGTGAAGGGAGAAGGTCGAAGCTATAGCCTTCTGTTTTGCCTAGGCCCAGCCTTGCCTTAAGCAAAGTCTTTTTCCTAGCTCAACCCAGAGGATTTTGGTTAGGAATGAGGAGTGATACTGAGTCATTTGTACCACTTCCTGTAAGACCTGGTTGTTTTTTTTTTAATTCAAATACTGGTTAGGACAGCCTAGCCCTACCTACCACACCTAATTTAGAGTAGCTGATAATATGTTTTGAGATAATGTAGACAAACAATGCCAAATGTCCTAGTGCCACTTATTTGCATTGGGTAAAATAAACATTTCAATTCAACAAACATTTTTTAAGCACCTACTATTTCTGTAAACAGCATAAAATGGCAACCTGATGTAGTGGATGAAGGTTTAGTCTTGGACCTTGGAAGTCTTGGGCTCAAATCCTAGGTCTGATATTTGTTGTCATTGGCTACCTGGCCAAGTCATTTAAGCTCTGTATACCTCAGGACTTCTCTACGGATCTCCTTTGGTGGAGAAGTTTCTCAGGAAATCACAAATCAGAGCACTGTTCTAAAGAATAGGAGAAGATATATAAAGTTTAGAAAAGGTACCACTCTGGGACTTTGTGGAGTTTACCATTTAGTAGGAATATTTGGTACACATACAGATGATTATAATATAAAATAACATATGATAAGTTCATAAGAAAAGGGTTATGATCTGAGCCACTCTAACATTGTTTTTTCCACAGATTATGAAATAACTCCTTTTTCTCCTTTTTGCATCGAGGGGCAGTAGATAGAGGGCCCGCCCTGGAGTCAGAAGAACTTGAGTTCAAATTTGACCTCAAACACTTACTAGCTGGGTGACCTGGGCAAGTAACTTCACTCTGTTTGCCTCAGTTTCCTCATCTGTAAAATGAGCTGGGGAAAGAAATGGCAAACCACTCCAGTATCTTTGTCAAGAAAACCCCAAATGGAGGAGAGTCGGACATGAATGAAACTACTCAGCAACTATAGATCTATTTTGACACGTAAGTAACTAAAAGGATTATGAATCAACTTTGCATTAGCCCATTACTTTTTTCTTTTTGCTAATTGGCATTGTGACCTTAAGGAAAGTCCTCTCATTATTCTTCAGTTTTTACATATATAAAATAGGGATAAAAACACCTGTTCCATCCACTCACAGGGTTATTATAAGGATCAACACAATAATGGATGTGAGACTGCTTTGAAATATATAAAACAATACATGAAAGAGGTGTTATTACTACTGATAGTCTAAGCCTATAATCAAGTGACTGACTTTTCTATGGCTTATATTACTAATTACAAAAGATCCCCTAATTGTAATGAGAGCCACATTTATGGAGCATTATAAAGTTTACAGAATGCTTTACATATGTATATTGTATCATTTGATCCTTGCAATAACCATATTGTTATAAGTTTTATTATCATGCTCATCCTATAGATGAGGAAACTGAGGTCCATGGTCACATAGCTAGTGTCAGAGGTAGAATTCAGTCAGTCATTCATTTAGTCGGTCAATAAACATCTATTTAGCATGTATCAAGTGTCAGGCCCTGTGCAAAATACTGGGGATATAAAAAGAGACAAATCAAGTCTCTCCTATTTCTACTCTATTATACTGCCCTAAATTACAAATTCTATTGCTTATGTAATATGATTTTCAGGAATTAAATCCTATTTTATGGTTAGTTGAATTTGAATAACTGTTTCACAAAAATATCTTATTTACCTTCATTGTATAGTTGTTACAAGAAATTTTTGTGTATTTTCATATCACAAACAAGCCCAGGGCAAAGAGACATGAAGTACACCCTAAGTTGAGGAGGCATAGAGAGACCTGGACCACCATCTGTAGTTTCCTATTTTAACTAATTGTTTTTTCTAATTAGGTGTTAAGCTCTGTTGTTCTACTGGAAGATTGAAAATGCTGTCAATACCCTTTTAATTTGGCATCCTGGGACAAAGCTCTGATAACCCTACCCTAGTTCCTGCACTGCTTCGCTTGTCTCAGTAAGTGCAAGAAACAATTTGTGCTGGTTGAGAAATGAAACATGCTGATTCTTTGATTTCACTCTCTGTGTAACACCAGTGGGAAAGGCAAAAATTAGAAATAAAATTTGTGAATCACTGTACAATGCATTTTGAACCTGCAGTATTCACAGGCTGTAGTAAAGCATTAAGCCATATTCCAGACGTACCATATTCAATCATAATGCTGTAACACAAGGAAAGGCAAATAATAGCCTTTGTGGGTGAGGCAGATTCTGTGGAGCTCTACCTCATAAAAGAACAAAGAGTTTGTCCAGCATCACAGAGCAGGGGTAGTAGGACAAACACACAGTTTTCATGTATTTTGGCATATCCTCTGTCCCCTAGAACAAAGCTTCTCATGTGAAGGAAACTTTAACCTTCTGATCCTTTCGAAAGCACCCACCTCTCCTTTGACTTCGAGCTGAAGCAAGAACTAGTGCATTTTCTAGAGACAGAGCTAAAAATACACTCCATTTCTTTTTCTCCTCCTCCTCCTCCTCCTCCTCCTTCTCTCAGCTTCAGGATTCTAACCCAATTAACAAACTGATTTAAATTAAAATAAAATTGTGATCTGTCTCTCTTTCCTTCATGCCCTCCCATCTGTTGAGTCCCGCTTTAAGTAACACCTTAGTTTTCAGTGTCCAACTTGAGGTGGAAAAATAAAAATTAGGACTAGGGCTGTATTAGTTTTCTAGGAAGTTTATGGAGCTATCGATTATTACTAGATCTTTATCTTGTAAAAATGGAAGCCATATTTCCACAATTTTACAGTCTCTGGGTTAGATTGACAGTGTTTTCTAGATAATAGATGATGCCCTAAAGATAGGACTCTTTTTATAGTGTCCTATTTATATACTTCCACACAGGGATCAAAGTACTGAATTGGATGTTTGAATTTTTTAAAGCTTTGAACAATCACTGAGGACAAATAGGTCAAATAAAAATGAAAATAATGATGCTGTGGGTATTTTACCTGTTTGAATCATCTCTTTAAGCTTGGTATCTCAGAAGGGCTTCACAACCAAAATTGCCATCATGTCCTTGTTTCTAGTTCACTAAGAGAAGCTAAAGAACTATCCTCTAAGTCATATAGTAAATTAAATAGCAAAGCAGAAAACCCAGACCGGGATCAGAAATGTCTAGTTTGGTGGCCTAACTCTAATGTTTTATTGCTTGGCGGGTTTTCCAGATCTCTAAACCTACTGGTTCCCACCTCAAATCTTACTTAAGCAACAGTATTTATTAAAAATAAATTCACTACTTGTCCTCATTTTCTTAGAACAAATCATCCTGTTCTTCTGGTCTTCATAGCTGCCGATTCGGCCTTTGAGTTTCTTTCATCTGATTATTTCATATCCTGGAAACATATTAAAAATGTGCTCTTATTTTAGGAGAATGACTTTCTTTTATTTTACGGGCAGTGTTGGGGTATATACAAACTCTAAAGTTGTTTTTTTATTCTCTTTTAACTGTGGCGTCCAGGTGGTGACCAGATTTATTTTATATCTCTTGAGGAATTTATTGGTGGACTTTGAGATGGACGCTTAATCTGCATAAGAGGAATCATGACATAGTAGATAATTTTGCTTGAACTCAGAGTTAGGAAGACTTTTGAGCAAATCTCAGTTAAGTCACTTAATGGCTGTGTGTTATGTATAAGTCATTTAAATTCTCTGAGATGGTTTTCCTATATGGAAAATATACACATGTATACATATGTGTAAACACATACATATGTGTATATGCATGTATATACATACATGTATACATGTGCATGCATATATACATACACATATATTTATGCCTACTTCAGAGGTTTTTTAATTTGCTTAATCCTGTGATTTCATTACTCTTGAGTAGGAGCTACAGGTGAGTACACTTTTAACAATGTAGATGAGAAACTGTTCTTTTTTTATGATCTTAAAGAATTGCTTACGGCATGGAAAGTTTAAGTGACATGCTCTGGGTCACACAGCCACTATTCTTTACCCTCACCATGACTTGAGTTCCGCCCCCCTACGCCTCAGCACTTTCCCAGGCCCTCCTACCTGCTCTGACTCTACCTGCTCTAACCTCCTACCTCCTCCTTTCCCAATCTTCAGCCCTTAGTGAACCAGCTCAGCTCCACATTGATTTGGTCTATGAAAATGGGAACAGTGATTTTATTTTTAATAAATGACATTGCTTAAATAAGAATGAGGTGGGGGGGAACCAGAAGGTTTGGAGCCCTGGTACCCTGATAGAATCCCTTGTGGTTCCATTTCTTATTGATTTTCTCATCTGCCAGTTGTCAACCCTGGGTTGTTCTCACCATCTGATTCTTCTGTTTCTACTCATGTGCTATTGAATGGAACTAGATAAGTTCCATACAATAAATTCCATAGAAGTGCACTGATTGGGTCCTCTACAAACTTAATTATCTAGGTAACCCTTCAGCTGTTGGACAACTTTGCCATAGAGATATCAGGCTCATGAAATGGCTAAGCAAACCCTATCCCAGAATTCACTGCTTTGGTAATTAAAAAAATTGTTTTTTAAATTGCCATTGAGACTTTTGGAAAGAATCCAAAGCCGCCATTCAGAGGAAGCATGGCTGTGTGTCTAATCCTTTGATGTCCAACCCCTTGATTCCTTTCTTCTAGGATACTGCTATTGCAGGTTGGTGGAAATCAGAACTGATGGGATATTCAGAGACTATTGGCACCTCTTGGGTACTGGTGAGATTTAACCTCCAGGACTATGTTTTTGCCATTCACTGAAGGCAGTTATCTCAAAGACCCCTAATTTGTAATTAAAAGATGGAATGCTCACTACCAGCCTGTAGTACTTCTTGCTCAATTGTGGGTAATAGGGGGAAGAAGAGAAGGGGGCGGGGCAGGAATCTGTCCCTTGGGCCTTCTAGCCAAAAATGCTGGGTGTTGATGTTGTTTACTTTCTGATTATAACCCTTTGCATTCATGTTTGCACATTTGTCCAATAAATGCTAAATTTTGGTGGCTGCCTACACCCTTTTTGTGTATGATTAGTGCAGGTGTAGATAGGGATTTGGAAGAGGTCTTTGCCACTTTAAAAGAGATGGGAAACATGTTTCCAATCCAAGACAGCTGCAAAATTATATCTGAAAACAGAAGTTAAGGGTTTATATTGTTGTTTAGTCGTTTTCAGTCATGTCCTACTCTTTGTGACCCCTTTTGGGGTTTTCTTGGCAAAGATACTGGAGTGGTTTGCCATTTCCTTCTCCAGCTCATTTACAGATGAGGAAACTAAGACAAACAGGGTTAAGTGACTTGCGTAGGGTCATATAGCTGGTGAGTATCTGAGGTGGGATTTGAACTCAGTGCTCTATCCACTGCACCACTCGGCGTCCCAAGATATATACTCCTCACCGTTGAAATTTGTCTCTTGACCCAAGATAATATCTCCCCTCCTCTTGTGCTACTCATTCTGTGTTTTCCTGTTCCTTGACTATGACCACTACCTCCTAAGAAGTCCATCTTCAAGCAAATGAAACCACACTTTCTTCCCTAGAGTGTAATAAGCCATAGGTTCCATAGAACACCCTGCTTTGTAAGCTGGTAATGATTAAAGGCAAATACCACCTTTGCTAGGAAATCAGTCCATTTAATGAAGGCTGAGGCCAATAAGCAAAGCTGGTCTTTAAGAAGTCTCTGCTAGTACTCAATGAGGTCTCATTGCCTAGTGGTGATGGAACAAAGGAAAGCACCAGCCAATGTTATGGGGTTTGACCATTGCATAGCACTGGAGGTAAAGTGAATCAAAGGAAAATGGATGCAAGATAACCTTAAAGGAGTATGTAATCAATCAGTGCAACCATGGTAGAGGCAGCTGTGACATGCTAAATCACCATGACAATGTCATACCTTGATAAAATAAACCATGAGGCTCTCCAAAGTATTTTTCCATTAAGTTGAAGGAGTATCCAGGCATTGGTGAATACCAAAATGGAGGAATATACAATTGTTTGGCTGCCACAACCAGATTCTGCCACTGGTCCCGCCCCCTCTGAGAGCCCCCCTTGATAGTTCAGCAATTGAGTTTCTAAGCCCAGGACCATTCAGTGAAGCCCAGAAGTTCATATGAATAATGACTTACTTTTTACCTGCCACAGATGGTTGCTTTATAAGACATTGGAGTGGCCTGAATCTCAGCCCATTGGGAGGGCTATCCAGGTCCTCAGTCCCACAGGGACTCCCTAGAAACTGGATTGAGTGCAGCAGGGGAAACTTTATAAAGTATTAGTAAATATAAATTTTTATTATATGTGACCATATCTCTTCAATGTGGGGTAAATACTTTTTTTGAGTAGGATTTATATAATTTTACAAAATTCAATCAATAGAAAAAAGAATTAAATGACAGTTACATCAAAATTTTTCCTAAAAATGTTCTGACTACGATTCATATTGTTTTCTAGTATGAAGGGCCAAGGCACCTTTTGATTATTTGGTATCCGAGGAAGAAGCAGTAACAGCGGCCTTTTATAGAAGGAAAACAAATCAGTAATGAAGAAAGACTCCTGCCTTTGATGTCTACTAAATCTCTCTCCTTTGAAGAGTAGATGCTGATTTTTGCATGGAATACTCCAAGGTATCTTATTTAAAGCCTTTCCATTTTAAGTGGGCTATCTGAGTAGGTAAGAAGAGTTCTGTAATTAGAAAATAAATTCAAATTCTCAGTTTCACCTTACTCTCTTTTTCTTTATATATGCATTAAAATAAGAACCAATGGTATGTATAGTAATAAAGCTCATTCATTTCCATAGTCTATTTCTTAAATTAAAAATGTTAATATGGTAAATCTCTTTTTAAAACTCAAGAAAACAAACAACAAGAAAGCTCAGATAGCAGTAATTTTTTTTTGCGTATTCTGCATTCTTTTATGTGAAAGAAATGTGAAAGAAAATAAAATAACTAATGTGTGACATTTATTTTTATTTAAAAAAAGTTTTCTCTAAGCCTTTTTAAAAATATCACCACAGTTTCCTTCTATACCATTCTGGTGTGCTTCACTGAATCAAGAACTCACTTATAAAGGAAAATAACCCTAAACCAACCAACGTAAGTATTATATTCAATTAATCAGAACATATTCTTTTGTACCTCTTCTAGGAACTTACTAGTTGTTCTAGGTGAGGCCTAGCTTAGGCTATTCTGGTTGTTTAAGGACTAGAACAAAATGAGATGTGGACCATCAAATAGTTGACAAAAGAAGGTTTATTTAGTCGCTGCCTGGAGATGATATCAAAAGATGCTTTACATATGAGGAATCTGAGGCCAAGAAACATTAAGCCACTTACCTAGTCAAAAGTTAGAGACAATTATGTGACTCTTGGGGTATAGTTCTAAATTGTTTTTCAGGATGGCTGTACTCAGTTGACAATTGTTATTTTCATTTTTTGTCGTCATTGACAATCAGATAATGAGTATGAGATAGAAGCCCAGAGTCATTTTAATTTGCATTTCTCTTATTATTAGTGATTTGGAGCATTTTTTTCAAAAGTTGTTGACAGCTTGCTTTTCTTTTTCTGAGATCTGTCTATTCAAAGCCTTTGACCATTTGTCCATTGGGGAATAGCTCTTGTTCTCATATATTTGAATTAGTTCCCTAAATATCTTGGATATAGGACTTCTATCAGAGAAACTTGCTGCAAAGATTTTTTCCCAATTAACTATTTGCCTTCAAATTTTAGGTAATTTGATTTTGCACAGAAAAAAAAACTTTTCAAATTTATATAATCAGAACTTTCCATTTTATCTTCTGTGATTCTTTCTCTTGTTTGGTCATCTGATCTTCCTCTATCCACAGTTATGAAAAAGTACATATTTTTTGACTCCCTTAATTTGTTTATGATGTAACATTTTCCAGGCCATGTTTCTGTTTGGAACTTACTGTGTTATATGGTGTGAGATGTGCCTAATTTTTTCCAGACTGCTTTTCTGTTTTCCTAGCAGTTTTTGTCAAAATAGGGACTTCTTATCCCAGCAGTTGAGGACTTTGGGTTTATCAAACATTTTGCTACTACTATGCTTGTTTGCTTCTGGATCTTGAGTTCTTAAGTTGTCCTGTTGATCAACTTTTCTGTTTTTTAATGCGTGGTAAGTAGCTCTTGTAATTATTTGCTTTGTAGTATTTAATTTGAGGTCTGTTACTGATAAACCAAAGCTAGGTAGCTAATTGAATAGAGTGCCGAACCTGGAGGCAGGAACATGCCTCTTCCTGAGTTCAAATCCAGCCTCAGACACTTACTAGCTGTGTGACCCTGGGTAAGTCATTTTGTTTGCCTCAGTTTCTTCATCTGTAAAATGAGCTGGAGAGTTCTAGTATCTTTGCAAGAAAACTCCAAAAGGCATCATGAAGAATTGAACATGACTGAAAAATGACTAAACAACAACTGAGAAGCCCCATTTTATTCTCAATTTGTTCATTATTTCCTTTGGAATTCTTGATATTTTGTTCCTCCAGATAGATTATGTTGTTATTATTTTTTAGTTCTATAAAGTATCCATTTGGTAATTTGATTGATATGGCACTGAAAAAGTAAATTAATTTGGCTAGGATTGTTATTTATTATATTGGTGCAGTACACCAACCATCAGCAATTACTATTTCTCCAGTTATTAGGTATGCTTTTACTTCGGCAAAGAGAGTTTTATAGCTGTATTCATATAACTCCTGCGTGATCTCAGTAAATGGACTCCCAAATAATTTATACATTCTGTAAGTTAATTTTAAAGGAATTTCTCTTTCTAAATATTCCTGCTGGGTTTTGTTGTTAATACACAGAAAAGCCTATGATTTGTGTGGATTTATTTTGTATTTTGCTACTTTGCTAAGATTATTAATTGTTCCAATTAAATTATAATTCTCTAAAGATTCTCTAAGCAGGCCATCCTATTACCTACAAATAGTGACAATTTTGATTCCTCTTTGCTTATGTTGATTTCCTCAATATTTTTTTTCTTCTCTTTTTTGGCAAGGCAATCTGGATTAAATGACTTGCCCAGTGTCATATAGCTAGTGAGTATCACGTGTCTGAGGCTGGATTTGAACTCAGGTCCTCCTGACTGCAGGGCTGGTGCTCTATCCACTGCACCACCTAGCTGCCCCCCTCAATATCTTTTACTTGTAATTTCTACACCTAGCATTTCTAGAACTATATCAAATAGTAATGATGATGATGGACATTCTTGCTTTACTCCTGATATTACTGGAAAAGGGCACTAGCATTTCTCTATTATGTGTAATTCCGGCTCTTTGTTTTAGATCAATATCATTTACCATATTAAGAAAAGGTCTATTTATTCCTATGCATTTAAATGTGGTTAATAGGAATGGATGCTGTATTTTGTCATATCTTTTTCTATGATCTCTTGCTATATTCATGTGATCCATGTTTTTTGTTATTAGTATGGTGTTCCTTGTTATGGTAGCCTCTGCTAAATTTTATCCAAGATTTTTACATTGCTACTCATTGAGGATATTCATCTATATAGTTTTCTTTTCGTGCCTTCACAGTCACGGAGTTTTTTTAGGCTTCTAGACATTTTCCAGAGTTTGTGCTGGCCTTCCTAGTGGGGACCCCCACCCCCCTTCCCGAATCTGTGGCTTCTGGCTGTTTCTTTGTGTAGTCCTGGGCCAGATGAGGGTGCTTATTGGTGTTTTTGTTTGGATTTCTTGATCATTATTTGATCTGGGACCCCCTTTTTTTGGGCTAGGCAATGGGTTAAGTGACTAGTCCAGGGTCACACAACTAGTAAGTGTTATGTGTATGAGGTTGGATTTGAACTCAGGGCCTCCTGACTAGTCTGGGACCCTTTAAAAGTCATTGTTGAAGTATATATGATAGAGCTTTCTTATCCCCATTTTAACTAGAAGTCCTTCCATCAACTTCTTGATGAACATATTTGATCAATTTTTCAGAGCTTGCTTTTTCTTTTTTAAGGTCCTCAAGGCTGTGGCTGGTCCTTTAGCTAGCCTATGGCTAGTTACCCTGTAATTATATTCAGTTTATTGAGGAACTTCTTCATAAGTCAAATAGACAAGCATTTATTAAGCACCTTTAATGTGCCGGGCCCTGCATGCTGAGCACTGAAGATACAAAGAAAGACAAAAGGTAGTCCCTTCCCTCCAGGAGCTCACAGACTAATGCAGGAAGACTAGATGCAAACAACTTTGTACAAACAAGATACAAGCAAGATAAATTATAGATAATCAACAGAAAGAAGTTATCTCTTAAAGGAGTAAGAGTAAAGAAACCTAAACACTTGGCTATATCTGTGTGTGTGCATGTGTGTAGACAATCAGGGTTCAGTGACTTGTCCAGGGTCACACAGCTAGTAAGTGTCTGAGGCTGGATTTGAACTCAGGTCTTCCTGACTCCAGGGCTGGCACTCTATCCACTCCACTACTTAGCTGCTCTTTGGCTACATCTTTTTGAAGGGTCTGCCTACCTCTGTTCTCTCCTTTGTCTTGTCCATTTCCTTTGGTCACCACAATAAGGACAGGTGATGGGAAGGAAGGCAGTATCTGCTGCCAGTAGTATTCCACTGTGAGGTAGCGTGTAGTTAGTGTATGTATATTAGCAGGGAGAGCCCGGAGCTTTGGGCTGGTGTTTCTAAATTGACCCTTATAATGTGACTATAGGGATGAATATATTGGAAGAAGAGTCAGCAGGTGACACTTCTGTGCAAGACATCGTAGTCAGAGCAGCAGCTTTGGGGAACCTGTTTAACTGGGGGTGTGTGTGTGTGTTCTGTGTCATTTATGTACCTAAGAACACACTTCGGTACGGGGGTGTGCTGCTGTAAGCTCATTGATGTTTCAGACACAGAGTCATTCCAAAAGTATGGGCAATGATGGCTCCGTGACACTGGTTACCAATAGTTGTGTCCTTGTTAATATCTTTTGAACTGGTCCGTTAGCTCTGGGACATTCCTGTATCAGAGGTCACAGGACCTTAGGGTCTCTGGTGGTCAGCGGTCACTATACTCTGACAATAGTCTTCATTTTAGACGGAGCTAGTCATGTTATTTCTCTGTTCAAAAAAACAGATTATGATGGTTCCCCATTGCCTCTTGAAGGGAAGTTTGAACAACTTTGCCTGGCATTCAGTGCCTTCTGCAGTCTAAGACCATTGTACCTTTCAGACCATACAGAATATCACTCCTTTTATTTACTGCTGGCAACTGCTACTACTAAACCAGCCTATTCTGTCTTTTGAACATGTGTTTTTCTACTTAACTGTGCCTTTGCTCATAATTTCCCTATGCCTGCAATGTCCTCCTCTATTTTCAAGGGTTGAAATCCTATTCATTCTTTAAAGCCCAACTCAAGTGTAATTTCCTCCTTATCCACTGTGTTTGTATTATGTTCACCTTTGGACCTCATAGAACACTAGGTTTTATGCCTCTCTAATGCACATATTATAGGTTATTATTATCTGTGTTTGCATGCCTTATCCCCTTACTAGACTGTGAGTTTCTTGAAAATCTGACAATGTCTCTCTCATCTAAGCTTTGTATGTCTCCCACTGCGTGACACAACAGATCCACAGGTTTGTAGATCAAATTTTTGAATGAGGGTTATTCAAATATTATC